AGAAGGCGACTGAAAAAATTGAAAAAACAAGTGACAAATACTAAAAATGTGACAAATATTCAAAAAAGTGATATAAATCTTTAGACTAATTTAAAAAAATAACACATTAAAAAAGTTGCACACATTAAAAAAAAAAGTGACAAACACTTGACAAAATTCAATAAAAAAGTGACACAATGTCACTTTTTAAAGTTAAGTCACTTTTTTTTTATTAAAAAAATAACAGACAATATCACTTTTATTAAAAAACGATGTTTGTCATTCAAAAAATGATAGAAATTTTAAAGAATTGACAAGAAAATGATAAAACAAAGTGATACTAAAAACGTGACAGAAATTAAGAAAAAAAGTGACGAACACTGAAAAAAGTGACAAAAATTCAAAAAAGTGACAAAACACCTAATACATCATTATAATCGATTCAATAAAGTGACAAAAATTAAAAAAGAAAAAAAATGACAATCAAAAAAAGTGACAAAACACCTATTAAAACATTGTAATCGATTCAATAAAGTGACAAAAATTTAAAAAGAAAAAAGTGAACCTCGGTTTCTCCTCTTCCTCCGTTTACCGCCAAGCATCTTTAAGTTAGTTTATCGACAAAAGACAAATCAAAATGCCAAGTACCTTTAAGTCAATTCATCACCATCACCATTTACCAACCCATTAATCATATAAAAAAATTTTTGGAAGTAAAATACTATATAAAATAAAGTGGATACAACGTTGCTTTTATTAAAAAGTAATGTTTGTTACTTAAAAAGTGACAAACAATATTACAAAAGTGATAAAAAAAAAAAAAGTGACAAAATATCAATCAAAACTTTAAAATATATCATTCTATGCAAATTCACCTCCCACCTCCACCACCATCAGACATATATATGCGATTTGTAGAATAAAAGGGGGAAAACATCGTTGGCTCTATCACATCTGAGATATACGAGGTAGTAAGTATAGAAAAGCAAAATTGATCCACAATAGATTAATTTTAAATGAAAATTACAGGTAAAACAAAAACATGCTCAGCAATCTAGATTGTGCAATTTATGAAGCTACCCAACAAAATATATATTAATTAGCACAAGTTGTATGTAGCACAAAGGTTAGATTCTACAATATCTAGAAGTGATTATAATTCCAAGCCATTGAATGCATGGGGATAGAAGAGGCTTACTAGAGAGTAGACCTATGAAGTTCTACGGTTTCAAACACATACTACCTTTAGTCATAATGTTTGTAAAATCTTGTGTCTTTCCTCTGGCAAGCAGCTGAATTACATGAATACATTATAGCTACAAAAGCATACAAAATCACACAAGATAGAAAGCTACTTGCAAGATTTGACTTTTACGGGTGAATAAAATCATAGTGTTCATAATACATTAAATTCATGTAAAAAAACAAAGAACAAAGAAATAGAAGAAATTCAGATCACAACGATCCCCACCTGCTCCTCCAAATCACGTTGTTGTCGCTTCTCCACGCCAACAACCATCGTCCTCCTCTTTCTCTGTTTCCACCACTACTACTAGCAGATTCAAGCTTAAGCACAAATCCAAGCCATTTACTACTACGTCTCCACTTATATCCATTATTCGGCGAGACAATCGAGGAAAGCTGAGGTATTATCCAAAGAGACAACATTTATTGAGCCTCGACAAGAAGTTTACCATTTTTTATTGGAGGAGTTTACGTAGGAAGCACTGTGAAAAGGCAAGAACCATAAATTAGGCTCCACCACAACTTCCCCAATAATTTTTCCTAGTTCATTTACTCGAAACTTTAGCTTCTCCTGGCCTTCTATTTGGTTGGGATTGAATTGCATTTATTTCTCTCCGTAAATTATACTGTTAATGATAATTAAAAAGTTGAAAGGGTATTAATCAAATTTCTAAGTAATGGAACGGACTAGACCTAATTATCCCTTATTTAATTTAGTGAGTTTAGAAGGGCATTGGGCCTAATTTTTTCTTTGCGGAAAATATACCCAGCACTTAGTAACCACGGAACCACCCTTCTGGGTTCTTGACTGGACTGAGCCTATGCGCAAGCCTAACCCTAAAGCCCATGTACACACTGCCATTTTATTCTTCATATATATTCATTCTTACGACACCGCACCCATTTTTCTCATTTCGAAGCTCAGCCGCTGAAACTAGGGTTTTTGCAACTTCGCAGCCATGGTAAACAAGTTTTTCTCTCTATATCTATATGTATGTCTATATATAATCCTGATCTTATCTATGTTCATTTGGCCTGAATGCTTGCATTTGTGTGTGTGTGTGTAGGGGAAGGGAACAGGGAGCTTTGGTAAGAGGAGAAACAAGACACACACGCTGTGTGTGAGGTGCGGCCGCCGGAGCTTCCACATCCAGAAGAGCCGCTGCTCTGCCTGTGCCTATCCTGCTGCCCGAAAGAGGACATGTACGTGTGCCATTTTACAATTCTCAAAATTTTATTTGAATTTTTAACTTTTTTGTTGATTTAATTTTTGTATGATATGATATTTCAGACAACTGGAGTGTGAAGGCCATAAGGAGAAAGACTACTGGAACTGGACGCATGAGGTACCTCCGCCACGTGCCACGCAGATTCAAGACCAACTTCAGAGAAGGTATAAGCTTGATAGTTTATGCTTTGATTTTTGTAGTTTGTAATTTTGTGTTTTGTAATTAATTTGAAATTTTGATGGTTGGTTTAGGCACTCAAGCTGCACCCAGGAAGAAGGGAGCAGCTGCTTCTGCTTGAGGTCTTTGAGGATTCAGATTTGGAGGGTACTGTTTATTGTACTTTTTTATTGGTATTTTAAAGCATTGAGAGAACAATTGAATTTTGTAGAACATCATTTGAAGCGTTTTTGTCTTTTGGATCATTAATTGACGTTAATTTTGTTTTTATACTTGATCTTGCATTTTAATATTGACAGACGGGCTGAAATTAGTTGGAATGCTCTTTTTTATTGTGTGTTAAATCTCATTTACTCTAATTCTTGCTCAAGTCCATGTCTTGACAGACTAGTATAGCTACCATGTTAGAGGCAGACGTGCCTGTTTCTCGAAATTATTATTGAGTAATCTGGATTTTTCCTTTTCTGTTTTTTCTATGGTTCATTATTTGAAGAAATACCGTGCATGTCTAACTCTGTCAACTTTTATTTACGCATTCTATAGGGTCATTATTTTTCGATAATGATAATAGTTGTTTTGTTTGTGCTGATTGTACTTCTATAGCCTTGAGATGATGAAGCTCCTCTCTACCGTGAGAGTTGATAGAAGTTTGGAGGGAGGGGGTGTGGGGTAAGGTGAAGGAAAGTGTTATTAGGCTTGTGTTTGACACCCATTATTTTTTTTTATATTTTTTAAATTATAATCACACATTCTCCAAATAAAATAATATTACACACAAATCAAAGACTTCTCATTACTTTTCAACCACATATAAGACCATCAATCACTATTTCAAAATTTATAATAAACCCAAAATGGGTGCCACACACATGCTAGATCTTCAAAATTGTCTCCTGTTTTTCAAAATTGACTCAAAATGTTGGAGCATAATACCCCAGATACCATTACTTATTGAGCATACCATTACAAACGTGTTGATTAGAGGGTTATGTGGGGGCTTTATTCATCCTTCGAGATCCGTCAAAAGGTTCTTCGCTGCCAAGTTCTGAGGTCCACCTGCATGTTTTAGGTTTTTTAGCATGATAGCAATTCAGGGCATCACATATTGTCGATTTTTTCTGGCTGCATCTTGTGATTCTAGGTCCTGGTGACCTTTTAATGACCAGAGATGAGCGAATGACCATTTACATTAGGTATGCTGACTAGCTAAAGGTACTTTATTACTTGCAGAAGGGTTTTGGGAGCCTGTAAATTCTTGTAAATTGTGCTGTTGAATGATGGATTTGTAGTTATGCACATCCTGGGCTCACCTTTTTGATGCGTATACACTTTGTATGAAAGATTTCAAGGGGTTTTTCTGTGGTTGAGGTTTAGCAATATCATGGTCTCAATTCTCTATTCCGTTTTACCCGCTTATGCTCTCGTGAAATAATGGAGATCTCTAACCCCCAACCATAGAAAACCCCATGAAATCATTCATATCAAGAGTATATGCATCAATTCCATGTGACCTGCTTTCTGCTGAGTAGTTCCTTCAAAAAATAAAACTAAAAAAAATCACGTCTTCTTGCAAGCTGAGGGAAGTAACTTGTGTTGACCAATAGTTGTTATGCCTACATATTGCGGGACATAAACTCTTGATTCTTTTCATGGTATCACCTAGTTTTATTTGAGCTATTCAAGTGCTCCTTGTGTTGCTCCCTATTTAACTGAAGTGGACAATAGTTGTGTGCTCCTTGTGTTACTACCACGGAAATGAAGTGGACTAGTGACAGGTTGGGGGCTGGAGTGCAAAGAGGTGATCTGGGAGTGGTACAGGGAGGTGCTGGACGGAAAGAGGCAAGGGGATGGAGAGATGAGGGTGGTAATATAGGGCTAGAAAGATGCAGTTTTCACTCGCCGACTCTTCAGATGTCATTTTTCTTTTGAACAAACTTTTAGATGGGATGGAAAACGTTCATTTTTTTACTTAATTAAAGGTTTAGGTCACATGCTACTCCTATAGGTTTGAGGTAATAATCAGCACTCGACAATTTGCTGGCCGCCAAAAGTTGAAGGAGATCGATCCGATGGAGCTAAAACACACGTTATACTAATTCACCTGAAAGCTAGCTTATTTCAATATTCCTCTATGGGGTGAATTAGCTCATTCATTAATTCATCTCAAGCACTAGAGAATATAGGATTAATTGCTCGTTTAGATAAGAACTAGAGAACGTTGGATTATTAGTTATTACGAATTCAATTCTTTGCTAAATGATTCTATAAAATAAATGAATCATTCCCGTTGATTGTAATTCTTACAAGTCATCAAAAATAAGATGGTGATTCGTATTTATTGTTTTAATCATGCTACATGTACTCGTTGTTCATACTGTGTTGCGTGTCAACATACCATATGACAGTTTTAAAAAAAATATTTTTCCCTTCTATAATTTTTTGAAAACAAAGGTGATATGAAAGTTTGACGTAAGAGAATGAATGTACATTGCATTATTGTTATTGTTTTCACACACATCTATGTGCCCTGAGATAGATAGTTATTATGTATGTTAAGAATGATGATAAAAATTCAAATTCGAAGTTAGGGGTGGACATGATTCCATTTAATTTTAGTTTCAAGAGAACACAATTGAACCACGAACCAATGACTTTTTTGATAATGACTTTTTATTCCCATCCAAATGATTGTTTCATAAGTAATAGCAATGATTCATTAAATTAATTGCAGCCATTTTCACGACACTCCCCCACAATAAAGGACGAATTATGCAAAACATTTACACCCACTTTTACATACAACCATTAACTGTTTAATACTCCATGAATATTTATTGGATTTTCCTATGTGAATAATACAAATAATTCATCAAATAATTAAGGTAAAAAAATAATTTAAAAGTTTTTGAAGTGATTGGCCAATTTTATTTCTCAATCTTGAAAGAGTCTCCTTCATTGACGTGATGAAATGACGTGTCAACGTGCTACGACGTGTAAATTGAAAATGAGTGAAGTAGAAATAATTCAAATGAATTCAAAATTAGGGTGTACACAATTAATGAATTATCTCCCATAACACAGAACCAATTAATGGATTGTATTCAATTAATGGACCGTCTCCAATTAATACAAAATTAGGATTTCCACTAATTAATATATATATATATATATATTAAATATTAAGCTTAGTATTGGCGGGTTTTAGTAGAACGGAACCAGAGCCAAATTGTTCTAAGTTCAAAGAATCAAAATTATTAATTTTTTTTTGTAGAATTGAATCAAACCGCTCAGTTTGGTTTGGCTTTGGTTCTAGATTGGTTTGGACATTTTGTCCACCTCGATGGGAGAGAGCTTCAATGTATAACAAGATTAAATAAGAGGTTGTCCCTTAGCCTCCCACACCCATATTTCCAACATCTCCTCGGAACCTGTCTACTTACCATATTTCTATTTGATAATATAGTACATTTCTCTATCTGGCCTTTTGTAGGCTCATGGATCACCCTTGAATATGAGATTGAATGCCCCACTTCATTCCTAGAAGGCCCACGATGTAAACAAATATTCGAGCTAGAGATTGGAGGAAAAACAGCTTGAAAGGCCCCATTGCTGGAAAGGCTAAGTTTTAAAACCATATGTGGAACTTCCGCCTCATTCGGCTCCTCTAGGGGCCATCAACCGAGCAAGCTAATATGAATCTAAGAAGTTTAGGGGAAAGAACTGAAGAGAATGATTTATGCTTTTCAATTATTTATCTAAAAAAGAATCCACAAATCTTTCTTTCTACAAAACAAAACTAAACATATACACACCCTTATTCAATAACGCCTCTTGATTTTTATATTTTTCAAAATGGACAAACAAAACAAATAATGGTTTGTTATAACATAGGAATTACATCACATCCTAATTCATGAGCACAAGACACCGCAATCAATGAATTGAAGCTAGTAATACAAATTATCTCCAGCAAACAAATTATTGGTATCAACTCAACAAAGAATTGCCAGTTTATCAACTTCACATTTACATGAAATTTCTTTGTGATACCAATACAAAACTGAAAATAACTCAAAAACTATTTTCAATTGGCTTCACCATTTTACACCCATATACATTTCACAAAGAATAACTATTTACTTCAAAATAACAACTAAAACTCTCATCCAACAAGAAAATCTGTGAAAAATCTTCACCTCGTCTTGAATTTTCCGAACTTCTCTTTCTCATTTTCTAACTCTCGGAATACATAATCAAGCTCTGGAAATAGTGACAACAGCAGCAGCTCAAGAAGATTAAAGGCTAGTTGCTTCATACAAACGGATGACTGTAGAAGCAGCAAAAGTTCATCCATTAGTTATGGTACCAAACAGAAGCTGCTACAAATCGAGTAAAACACACTCCACTTATTGTGGATTACATGTTGAATATAAATGAAAGATGAAAAACACATCTCTCTCTCTCTCTCTCTCTCTCTCTCTCTCTCTCTCTCTCTCTTTTTAAACTGAACTGAATATGATCCAAGCATATGAAAATTGACAATTAATCCAAATAATGATCATATATCTCCCCCGTCCCGTGAACAACAACAAGAAACATTACCAGAATCAATTTGCATAACTGCATCCATACATCCACTGACAGATTCGATGAAATCAAATTTTTGCCTACTATGCCATGTTCTTTTTTGGAATCTCTCCCTCTTCTCTAACTTGTTCTGTCGGGATAATAATTCTCAACTTCTGGTTATATTCTATTTTTTATTTTACTGCATTATAGTGTAACAACTATCTATCTTAAAATACTCGCCTTTGTTATATTCATCTTAAGGTCATTTGGTCCTTGGTGACCCTTCACTTTAAGTAAAGCATAATTAATCTCACAGGTATCTTCTGATGCTCTTTAGTGATCTGATATTTTGTAACTGCAACAATCTCCATTATGTCCAACACATACATGCATAATCCTCTCAACATCACCACCTCCTTTTTTGTTTCCCATGAAACCTCTAAAACACAATCAATCATTCAGCTATTAATCCTTTCGAACTTGTTTAATTGTACGAGGGAAGGCAGAAAATTTTGAAGGTAAGGTCTAGTGTAAAAGCTGATTCAGAGGTGATTTGAATGAAGACCAAGTACAAGTCTCTGCTTCAAAAACAAAAGAGAAAACGATATGCTAGAAAAACATAAACAAAAGACCCGCTGAAATGAAAGCAGGAAAAAGACACCAGCGATCAAAATCATTCGAGTACAAAACAAAGAGAAGGTCTACTCAGTTTTATCTGATTGTTTTTTTTTTTTTTTTAATTTCAAAATTCCAATTTTGTAACTGCAACAATCTCCATTATGTCCAACACATACATGCATAATCCTCTCAACATCACCACCTCCTTTTTTGTTTCCCATGAAACCTCTAAAACACAATCAATCATTCAGCTATTAATCCTTTCGACCTTGTTTAATTGTAGGAGGGAAGGCAGAACATTTTGAAGGTAAGGTCGAGTGTAAAAGCTGATTCAGAGGTGATTTGAATGAAGACCAAGTACAAGTCTCTGCTTCAAAAACAAAAGAGAAAACGATATGCTAGAAAAACATAAACAAAAGACCCACTGTAATGAAAGCAGGAAAAAGACACCAGCGATCAAAATCATTCGAGTACAAAACAAAGAGAAGGTCTACTCAGTTTTATCTGATTGTTTTTTTTTTTTTTAATTTCAAAATTCCAATACTGTGCTTAATTGTAAGGGGTCATCATTGGCTATTGTATCATATGAAATTTGGCACAAAAATTCTTGAATTAGCATGTCAGCAAATTCCGCCCTTGCAGTTCATAAATCTAATATGATTTATAGAGCCATGACACAATCAATATGTATAGGTGGGTGAATTTTAGCTCTTGGGAAAATTGAAAATAAATAGAATCACCTGAATGAAATAGTAGAGGTCCTTGGCACATTCATCATATTCCTTGTGTCCAACAAGACCTACAATAGGAGATGGTGCCTTATCTGCAAAAGATTCTCTAACGGTGATTAACATCTTAGAGATATTTTTCCTCCCCACTTCTAAAGTACAGAAATAAGATAATACACTGGATAGGCAAACAATTAAAAATTACCAAGCATTAGTTCATATACAAATTTTGCTCGCAGTTCTGCCTCCTTCTGCTGCATCTTCTGCAGTTCATCTATTTCTGGTGAAGAAAAAGGAGTACGTTGGTCCTGGGGAGATCCATGGGCTGGGCTTGCAGATGGTGCAGGTCGCTGACGCTTTGGGTGCTTTGTTATGAATATTCCATCTGGCCAAAGTATCTAGGTGTACCATCCAGCAATTGGATTATCAACATCAGAAATCACTAAAATATTTTCTTGAAAACATATGAATTGTGTTAAAAAGACAAGTATTGACAATTCACTCCTCGTTCCAAAGCTCTAGAATTTAGTAAATTTAATTGAAATTAAATACTCTTAAAATAAAACTTGTGATTAATCGAAAGTCAAGTGAAAAAGGCAGTCAACAAGATACGTGAAAAAGTGTTCATCTCAACTACCAGGCCATCAATGACATACCTGCTCCAACTTCTTGATCCCAGAAGCAACAACCGATCCCCGGCGCAGAAGCTGGATTTTCCCAATCAACCAATCATCAAAGGCATCTCCCATTCCCAATTGTAGAACTTGTTTAGCCACCCAGAAAGCCTTTCTCCTGAAGTCACTTAAAAGTTTATATGAGCCGAGAAAGACCGAGGTGATTAGAGTAAAAAATTAATCTACAAACAAACCTCCTTCGAATTAATACAATTTGTCTACAAATAATACCTTATCCATCCCCCATCTTTAAGCTGAAAAATGACATCAACTAAATCCAATATGGGAGCACTTAGATTTGGTGGCACCCACTGCATGAAGAAACAAAATTAGACAACCACTATAGATCATAAATGGGCAAATTTACAGACAGGCCACAAGAACATGGAAGTTGGAAATGATCATGTCCATATTTGAAAAAAAAACATCAACCACTATCTATAACTAGATTCTGTTCCCTAGTTGAACACAACAAAGAAAATATGCCAAGTAAATAGAGACTCTGAATTACCTCACTAGGAATGGCTAGATCAGTGGCAGCATCCATAGACCCAGATGCACATAAAGCTTCCTCGTTACTTTTTACAGTTTTTTCCAATTTTTTAGCCAAGATTAGGTTCTTTTGCTCCGGATCAGCAGAGTCACTACTGGAATCATCAAAAGCCTTTTCAAACCCTTTCGCGGGCTTTTTTGGTGGAGAAAGTGCTGGTTCTTTTGTTTTCAATCTTGCTCCATCAGCAACAGGATCACCCTTGATTAGTAATGAGGATTCCTTATTTTTATTACCCAAATTTTCTCTTTTGGAGGATAACGGACCAATTACTGGCCCTATGTTATCCATATATTCTTTATAAGTTTCGCGAGCTGTGTCATCCAGGTCAACTGAAATCCAAAACCAGTTTGAATCTATAAAAAATAAAAAACAACTTATGGAGGAAAATCCACTGCTCAGATACACTGTTCACCTGAAAGAGTTTCGAGAATGGATAATGAATTTGAGAAAATATACATCTGCATTGTTATGAAAATCATAACTATAAGTTCAAGAAAGTACAGGTAAAATATCAAAACTCAATCAGGAGGGCAGAAATGAGAATAAATAAGTTGAACCTGAGAATCAACACTAAGAAAATCCCAGACTTCAATAGAGCAGGAAACAGTAGGCAGCTGCAGAAGCTTCTGCAGAACAACTGCAGATGTCAATATAGCCCTATGCATGTATGTACATGAAGTATAAAAATAAAGAAAGTGGATGATTTTTCTAGCAGGTAAGGGGCATCAGAATCCTTATGTAACATCATCATGTTTAAACAACTGGTCCCACAATAACTGGAAACATAAAAAATCAGAAAAGCTTATATAAAGAAGCAACGGTAACATGTTAAGGGACCACTGCTCATAACAGAGCATGTACGATAATAGGGACATCATGACGAGGGGAAATTGTAGTCATGCTTCCCAAGTGAACTTCAATGCAAAACGGATATTAGATTTTCTATGACACAGAAAACAAAATGACATACTAAATCAAAATATAAAAGTCAAAATGTCCAGTTGTATTAGATGTATGACCTTCAGATACTGGTCAAGCAATTTACAACGTTGTTGAATTATGGAAACATCCAGACCACTTGATAGAAAATGCTTCGGTGGCAAGTGGAGATTGTATTCAGGGTACTCTTTAAGGCGGCGATGTAATTCCTCAAAATGACGAAATCTGTCAGTGTAAACAATCCAATTGGTCCATAAATATGTATTAATAAAAAACCTAAATATAAAGGGGCATTATAGTACAATTGGAGGATAAAATCAGAAAGTTTGCAGCACACGTTGGCACCTTCTTTTGATAGACCAACTGTTACTATTTACATCTGTAACAGATATGGAATAAACAGCAAAAGTTTCGGACCCACTCTTCACAATATTGGCACCCACTACCTGAAAAAGAAACGAGCTCACTTTCTTCACATCTCAAAGCATTAATTTAGTTAAAGCAGAATATTAAAGGGGTGAATTGAGTACCTCACATCTTAACTTGAAAAAAGAATCAGCAATAATTGAATTTTTTGCAGAGTTAGCAGCCAAAATATGACTTTCAGGTAAAGAAGCCAAGGACACAGATGAAGAAGTTGTTTCTCCACTATGTATTCTACCTATCAATTCTGCCTCAGATTCATCACTCGAGTCTTCAGATTTAACATTTCCTTTGGAAGAATTCAGCAAATCCTGCCCCTCTCCCAATAAGAAACTTGTTCTTTCGACCTCTTGCCAGACATGCCCATTATCACTGCCAGACCTGGATCTTTTCTTTGCAGATTTTGGTTTTTTCATTCTTTGAGAGTGGAGGCGGCCTGTGCTCATTTTTTTACTCTTATGACCGTCCAAAGTTTCAAGTGGATGATGAATGTTACTGGAGTTTCTTTTACTTCTACCATCCCAAACTCTAACCCCTGGTGAATCAAGACCTGTTACACAGCTGTTGTCTTCATCCTCAGTGTAACTACTGGTCCCTGATTCATCAGAATTCACAATATTATGTTCATCCCTCTCTTTATTTAAAGAACCAGCTGTGCAACCTTGGTCTTTCAAATTGTCCCTCATGATCATATTGTCCTCCCCAGAGAATTTATCTCGTCCAGAAATAGAAATTGAAACATCTTTCTCAAAAAACATATCCTTAGTTTCTAATTCCTTTTTCTTCTGTCCACTAAGCACTTTTGACTGCTCCACTGATTTAGATACCCCCACCGAAGAGCTGTGTTTCTTAGGATCAGCCAGCTGATTTGACCCTTCCTCCCTTTTGTAATTTCTTCCTTTTGTCCACATATTATCAAAATTTTCTGGAGCCAAGGCCTCAGTTTTTCTGCGGGAAACCACATCTAGCATGTCTCCCCATTCTCCACCAGAGTGTTGTTGTTGCAACCCTCTTCCCTCACCATTATGCGTTTCTGGTAAAGAACTCCAAGACCGAGTGGATCGTGTATCAAGAGAAAGTAATGGATCTTTGGAAAGAAGTGTTCTCTTCGTATTATATGATGCAGGAATCTCAACATCATGTTTAGACTGGTCCTTCAAATCTACAAGTTCAACACCCTTGATGGAAGGATCTATAAAACGAGAAAAATCGGATGATATCTTTGACGATCCATTTGGTTTTGAAAGTGATGCCGCATCTATCACCTTACTTCCTTTATCAGTCTTGCTTCTTGAAATAACTAGAGATTCAATCCTCTCATTAATAAACCTGACACCGAATTTGGTAATGTATAAAGAACATAAACATAGCAGTTTTCAAGAAAGGATGAAATGTATCCTTACCTTGGGCTAGCTAGATTTATCACCGGTCTCATTACGGTACAGGCAAGTAGCTCCCGAACAATATAACGAAATAAGGAGCACTGCAGATCCTCTGGCTTGAATGTAAACATAATGAGGCCATCCATAACTCGCTGGAGAACCTACCATAGCATTCAGAACAAAAAATTGTCAACCACAGAGACCTTCTGTCATTAAGAAGATATATGGAGTGCAAGGAAGAGAAAACATAAAGAAATAACCTCGTGCTCAGCTTCAGCAGAAAATAAAGCAGGGTGTAATTTGTTTTCTGCAGCCAGCACAAATTTTAATTCAACGTCTCTCTCTTCAATGGTTAAGACTCTAGATTTTTGTTTCTCAATCTTTGTCTTAGCTGTGCGAAAAAGCTCCAGCTGACTGCATACAACATTAATAATATCCCTACACCAGACCAAGCAATGATACTTCCTGTTATATACTTCCAGAAGATATCTCAGTGAAGAAAATTTTGATCAGTAATATTTCGGTAAATAAAACCTTGTTAAAAGATCTATGAGATTAACACTTCTCATACGACGTGAAATTTCCCCAAGTACACCATTTATGATCTGCACAAGCTCTTCTGGGCCATTTTTATCAGGAGTTATGCGAGAGTACCAGAGATTTGTTACCCACTCTGAGACAATATGTCTAGTGAACTGGTCGATTGCATCCTCAACAACAGGGGAATTCACTTTCAGCTTCCAATCATACTTCTCAGCAATAACTCTAGTATCCTCAAAAGGTTTCCTCTCGGAAGAATAGTTTGCAGATATTGGTTTTCCTTTGTAAGTTGCTGTTTTCCTCCTCATATCCAAATCCAGAGATAAGTAGCGAAGTACTATTATTAGAAATGCAGCAGCAGGCAAGTTGACTAAAACTGATGAGCTTGTCACTGGGAAGAGAAAGGAATAAGATGAACACTCAAGGATTGAAACAGACGATAAAGACAAAAATTATATAAAAATATACATGGGATGAAGCGGATTAGCTGTGATTAAACAGTACGTGACGAGCATTACAAAAAGCCCCACTTTGAGCCTAAAATGCAAACTGCAAAGGGTGAATATTTTTGTTTCTAAGACAAGGCATATATGTGTATCCAAACCTTATCACATCCTGAAGAATGGCTTATAACACCATTTGAAACTGTGCCCATTAGTAACAGTTGGCCTTTAGCAGTGACATCATTGAGTTATGACATGAATACACATGTAAAACACTGAAACACATTTAAGTAAACATCGAAACATTTACCTGGATGAGAAGATGCTAAAAATAAAACAAAAACAGAAACAAGAAATGATAAATGTGAAATAGAAGAATATCATTCTAAAATCCCAATCATGCAAATTAACAAAAAACCAATTGGTAATACATCAATGCATACTACTTGTATCATAAATTAGTAAATTATGCACCTATGTAGATTGCAATGCTTGAATAATATAGGAATGCATACTCAAAATCAACTGAATATTAGCACCAAGCAAAGGAAGTAACTACAGAGTAAATCTTTCCATCGATACAATTTGCATGATAGATCCAGTGTCTCTATATTGAGGGATTTAGTGTAAATAATTCGTATCAAGATGTTACAATTGATTATCCCTTTTGAATTCAATCACTTGACACTTTTGTTTAACATTTGCCTTGATGCTTATTTTGTCAGAAGTAATTAATTCTTTTGAATAAGAGGGAACAAAAATAACATATAACTTATATATGCAATGACCACCTGCGTGGATTGTTCAAGTTGATACAATTCTGATACAATTCTTCTCACATGTACAAAAATAAATCATGAAAGAATGTAGATTCCAAAAACTATTTTAAATGAAAACATCTCTGGACAAGGACTTCAGATAGTAGTAACATGATGTCCAGCATCAAGGCTATTCTTTAAGTTTCTGGAGCGTAAATATCACAAAACCCAAACTCATAAAAGCTTCTTTCACATCAACCAAGTCTTAAAGTGTATGCTTGAACAAAGAATAATCATACTAACAAATATTGAATAATGTGAAATTAACTTCCAGTTCAATTGAAACTTTTCATCTAAGTAGCAAAAATTTCTGAGCAATTAATGACAGAGAGATAATTAAAATTATATATATTGAACAGAGTTAGGGAAAACCCTTTCCTCTCCTCATTTTACCACCCAACCAAATAAAAACAAGGAAAAAGGGGTTTCCCGCAGAAAATTGATATATAAACTCTAAAAAAATCAATTGCTATCATTCTTGTCGTCTACAAGATCTATAGACAATGCACTGCGATAAAGTGTCATTCCACATCTCACTAAATTGTTATATGTCTGATGAAGAATACATCCCAAACAGTATTCACACATTTAAAATCTATATTTTTTTCACCACGGTCTCAATTGTTTTCAAACAAATGCAAGATCAACTTTTAGAACAGCAGCAAAAATTAAATCTTGTAAAAACAAGAAAAAGCTAAAAAGCTCGAGAACATTATATAGCATAACTTGAATATAATGAATATGGTCACTATAATAAGTGTAACCTTCTTCTTATATGAGCATTGGAAGAAGACGTAGTATCCTAATTCTAATAGACTAAGTAAAAAAATAAATCTCCTAAAAAGGAAAATAAAACAAATAGCACATTCTAATAGAAGAAGTCATATTTACTAAATAATAAACTAATTGAATCCTATAAATTAGGAAAGTTAATTACCTATAATAATGATATACTAACACTAGCAATAATAATTGATCTCTAGTAGAATTGTCATATATTGGTGTCCCCCACTTGAAAACATCTCGTCCTTGATTTTGGAAAAAGGGAGAAAATCAATCAACTAGGAGAAAAATACTCAAAATTTATGCCATGTCACATACTGAACAAATACATACTTGATAAACATCGTATCCTTTATAGTTGCTTAGTATGACATCAACTTTTCTCCTATCTTCTTTTCTATTTCTTATGGACACTTCTTTAAAAACTACGCATGGTTCAATTTCTCATCCTTGAGTTTACTCTCAATAGAGGCCACTAGTGCCAAATTCATACTGTCCCTACATCCCTCATGCTAATGCAATTCATTGGCATTGGAATTGCAAAGAGGGTTAAGGAAACTTTTTATTCTCAATTTGACAAGCCTCACTTTTGACTCTTTCATGATTGGGAAGTTCAATTCCCTTTTCTTCGGTTGGACACTTTTAAACTTCAACTTGTTCATTATCAGAGTGGGCTCGAGCTTTGAGTCTTGTAGTTAAAACTCAACCTTCAACTTGTTGCTCATCATACATTGTAGATCAACTCGAAATCTGTAGTGCTCTAATTGGGGTTGTTATTCATCGAAGCAGGTTGATTTCCTTTAAGCTCGCGCTGGACTTCAATGACGAGCACAACTAAGGTTGGATGAACATCTTGAAGAGTTTTTTTGAGTCCGGTAAGTCGATGCTCCATGTTTTTGGACCTCTTTGTGTTGAGCTCGGACTCCACTAGTACCATCCTCACTCATCAGCCCATGTATGCTCTGATACCAATTTAGTGCATCAGCGGAAATTAAATCTTGTAAAAACAAGAAAAAGTTTTAAAATATTATCTAGAATAGCTTGAATATAATGAATATGAGTTCTGATTATATTGGAAGAACACGTAATATCTTAACTCTAGTACTAAAAAAGAAAGAAAAGAAATAACCTATATCTGATAGAAATAGAAATCCTATCAGCAAAATAATAAAACTAATTGAAACCCATAAATACTAGGAATCCTAATTACCAATTGTGATTAAATCGTAAACTAGTTGTAATATTTGAATTCTAGTAGAATTGTCCTACATCAACTTTTCTTGGTCAAAATAAAGGTATAAAACCTTCAGACAGATAAACATTAAAACTTCAAGATTCCACGTAAGCTCTTCTAGATAAATAAAAAAACCACTGCAGTACTCCTGTCAAAGCAAGTCTTTGACATTTCTCATGACTTAGGAGCATTGCTGTCAAATTACAATCTTCATACGTAAACACCCCTAAAGAATTGTGTCAAACCTATCAAAAGATCTATTCAACAAAGCATGCCTTCTGCCTTCCTGTCATCACTGTACACTAGTTAGATACATTGCCGTCACATGTTTTTCATCACACAGAGTAAAAAGAAAGATTACACGATAAAAATAATAAGAAACCTTTCTGGAGACTGGAGCTAGAGATGTGCCAAAAAAATGTTGATTGTCCAGGAAAACTAGGACAAAGAGAAGTAGGAAGTATAAAGGAGATTTTGAATATCTACACATCACCAGAATTATTCACTAATTTAAGGATCCATGTCCACATTAAAGCTAAAAGAGAAACCTTTTTCAGAAATGAGGAGAGGCTCCTGAAAGCATAATGCTTCCTTCAAGATAAAAAAACAAGAAAAAGTTCCCTAAGGGGTGAGTTCTGTAATGCTTAGTTTTGTCTTCCTTCTTTTGAGTGGGAGAGGTTCATGGAGAGAGAGGTTCACGAACGACAGAAAGTGCAATCCATGCAAATTGGACGTTACTAATAATGCTAATCTGTAAAATCACGAGATATATAGTAGTTAGAGGAACTACTTGCTAGTTATAGAAACTTCTCCAAGATAAATTTTATACATTTTGATCCTAGTGCATGAAATTTCAACCTTTTGTTGGCTTACAATTTCAGGTCAGGATCCCAATTAGAATTTTTTCTGCTAATTTTGTATACAGAATGGAGTTGGGTGAAACATCGAAAATGTGCAATACTCAAGTAGAGATTATATATGGAAAATGTTCATAAATAAGCTGGGCCCAACATGGTTCTGAATAAAAAGACAGAAAAGGGGGGATTTGACAAAGGGGATGACCACGAATTGGCCCATGTGTAGCAGCTGCCATAATGGTGGGTTTTTATACATTAAACACCCACAACTGAATCGAGGAAGAATAGGGAAATTACAATTTGAATAGCTTCTGAAAAGGTCTTCTAGGAAGAATAGGCAAATTAAACAAGGGTAAATCTTCAAGTGTCTAGAATCGGGTACTACAACTATCAAATATGAAGTCCACAAAATAATGCTCTTACCAACAGACTAATTCCTTAACTTGCCTTCTTCAAAGAATGAAGCAGAAGTGTGTTGAATAAAATGAGCATTACAGCACCTCATACAGCATAACAAGCACTGAAATAAAATATGAGTTACACAAATGTAATTCTAGTTAACCAGCTTTAAGCACATTTTAGGTAACATTCATCAGTGCAATTAAAGATGAAGATGATCACCTGGGTTGGCACTTCGATAAAATAAAAAAACAATGAGTTAAATAACACTAAAATGCTAAAGTTCAAGAACGGAAAAGAGTTCTGGAATGGTTCACAATTGTTGATTGGTGTGTTATGCCTATTCACATTAATTCAACTGAAATGAATTTAACTGCATTTTATGACGAAACATAGAAGAGAAAATGCAAGTTTCTTCCAAGAATAAGAATATAAATCAGGATGATGTGAAATTCTTGGTTCTCAATTTTTTTCCTGTCACCATGAACTACCCATTCTCCACTTTCAAATAGGAAAAAAACAATTATATACTTGTAATACAAAATCCTCATAACATCCTTAATATACTGAATAGAAAACTGTTAAGCTAGTTTCACCACTTGCACATACGGTTGCATAAAATACAAAAAATCTAGATCCAAACCTAATGCTTACTTCATAGAGGAAAGGAATGGTAAATGAAGGAAAACACACAAGTTCACAAAATATTTTCATATGGACTTGCTACATTCCTAATTGCAAGCGAAGTTTTAAGATGGTGCAATAAAGAGCTCATAAACTCAACAATTTTTAACCTCCTAATGCTTCAATCGCTATGAATAGGGAAAACAGATGCGAAATCTCCTCAATGCATAGTATTATTCAAATGCAAATCAGCTTCTGCTTTATTAAAGAGAAAAAAAAAGGCTATAGCAGAATTATAGTCTCCATTGAAAGTAGCAATAAAACAACAACTATTGGACAAGCAATGAATCACTTACAGGACATGAGGTAGGACAGTCCAATAACGCATATGATAAAAAAAACACTCCGCTTCTTAGCTTCCTCCACGAGGTCACGGACGCTAACCGATTGTCTTACAGTGCTCATTTTCCGACCTCCACTCTTCAACACCACCAAAAAAAACTCATCAAAATTTAATTGCAAACAAATCAATATCGCCCAAAAGTTTCCAGCAGTTCTGAACCAATTAGTTCCTCGAAACCACGATTCAGGCAATAATTCTCGAAATTTCCAAAAAGAAAGAGCAACTCAATCATCAATGGCGGAAGCAAAAATAGGCCGCGAAGTGATTGAACAGAAATTATAATTGGCCAAGTATGAGTTGCCAATTCAACGCCCGGACAGAGATCAATGGGATTCCTGTGTGTAAAAAAAATGCTAAAAAAATGTGAATTTGGGTAGGTGTATTTCCGAGTTTTGTCAATTTCTCTAAATCTATAGAGAAATCATACTGTTCAATTGTAGAATTATGCTGAGAACTGGGAGATTTGGTTTGAAATTATTTTTATTTCTGCCAAAAATCAACAATTATGTGCCATGTAGGATTTGCTTTGAGCCGACTCCTGACTAGGGAGACTGAAGGGCACGCACGCTTTTAATTTTAGGGAAAAATGTGTGCAGTCCCTAACGAATTGAGCTAAGTACGATTTCACCTTCAATATGGTTTTTAAAGATTTTTAGCATTATTAATCTATAAGAATTAGGGAAATGCTACATGTACAATACATGTGTTACAATATTGAGTTACAACATCTCACAAGGGAGGTGGGCCATTCGATTAAAATAATAGTGGCCCTACCTCCCTACCTCCCTTGTGAGAGGTTGTAATCCAACATAGTACAAGGAGCATTATTCTAAAAATTATATCCATTCAACGGTCAAATATGATTTTTTTAATTTTTTTTAATATACACCGTTAAACTCTTTCTAATCTCCATATACGCTTTTAATCCTATTTGTGTTGGGACGCTCTCTCTAGTGTTAAAAAATGATTGAAACTAGTAGTATTATACGATATGATGGAGATTTATTTATTTTAATTTGATAGTTCGCAAAAATCGAAATCTCATTTGTTCGTCACTTGAATTTAATAGGAGGGAACTATTTGAGAAATGATTGCAATTACAAGTATGACGAGATCTCAAAATGTAGAGACTAGAAAATTGAGAATGACTTAGAGGTTTCATGGGGAGAAACGATTCCTCGTCTCTCCCTTTTCAGAGAATGACCAACAGATCGAGATCTACTCTCCCTTTGCTTAATTCCTCATAAACCAATTTATATTTTTGTCTATATTCCAAATCCTACAATGAAAAAGATGGATACTGATACGCACAATAATCTTAGTACTTGAACTCTACCTATTGGGCCCGACCTTGATCCAGCTTAATTGGGCTTATGTTGAAGTCGGGCATTGTCTTGAGGTTGAGCTATTGGGCTCGACCTTGACCCAACTTAATTGACCTTAACTTGAGTTCGGGTCTTGTCTTGCCCCGCCCATCTTCTAGACATTATCACATATTTTCTAGGGGTACTAATCCTACCTAAATGTAAACCCCCAACTTGTTACATATCCAATTGTAACACAAACACCTTCTATGACAAGGACAGATACCACAGTTGGTTGAGTCCTAAAATGACTCAACCTCCAACACTATAAGTACATAGCCTAGCCTCATTACTTAGGTACTTTTTTAAATAATATTCCAGCATATATTTTGTGATTCCTTTCTCTGACTTAAATATCGAAGGGGCGACAAGGACATACCTCGATGCCTTTGTTTCAGGTATTGAAGATCAGAGCGCGCGGAGTTCAACCATCCGGTTCGAATTTTTAGTAGCATCATTGGAGGCTTCTGTGGGAAGCACTACCAGAAGCCATGGTTAACACCCATTCAGGACATCTTCCAGCAAGCTCATCTGCTCCTAACCAATCCCCCGTAGGAGACCGTCCGGGTCCCCAGGAGATATCATCAGTAGAACTACCACACCCGCCAGTAACAGTCGCTCCTGGAGCATTGGAAGAACTCCGCCATCAGGTAGCCACGCTTACTCAACTACTATATCAAAGAGGCACACCCCCAGTGCCGTCCCCAAAAAGTGGTCTTATGGCTGATGATCGGGCCCCCGGCCCAAGCCATGGTGAAGTCGGAGCCTCGAACGCACAGCATATCCCCGTGGGTTCTAGATCAATTACTACGGATTCGGCTGATCTCACACAGATTATCCAAGAGGGAATCACAGCTGTAATGCTCCAGAAGTCTTAAGCAGCAACATAATTTACCCCTAACACACCGTTTACCCCTGAAGTATTGTCATACTCCCTACTGGATCGATTTAAGTACCCTCAGGTGAAGAGGTATGATGGGACGACTGACCCTATCAACCATCTCAACATATACACTGATATCATGAACTTGTAGGTCGCACCCGATGCTGTAATGTGCAAGGTCTTTCCTCAAACTCTTACCAACGCAGCCCTTGATTGGTTCTCCACACTGGATCCTAACTATATATCTTCCTTTTTGGACTTAGCTGACAAGTTCTATACGTTCTTCGCAAGTAGTAAGAGCATCAGAAAGATAGCCACGTCACTCATGCAGATGTGGCAAGGACCCAGCGAGACACTTTGAAATTTCATGGTAAAGTTTAATAAGGAAAGACTTATGATCCTTGATCTACATATCACGGCTGCAGTCTCTGCCCTAACATATGCCATAAGATGTAAAGCATTTAAGATGTCTCTGTCAAAGACCCCTCCAAAGTTGATAACCGGCCTACTGACCCGAGCTGAAAAATATATTAACATGGAGAAGACCATGTTTCTAAGAGAGGATGCCCTGCCATTAAAGAAACCTGACCTAAAGAGGCCACATGAGTCCAACCAGCGCCTGGACCCCTTCCGAAACAATCCAAGGTAAGACCCTCTTCCAACACCTTTCACTCGCTTGAACATAATGGAGTCTAACATTTTGATGGAAATTAAAGACCTGAAGGAGTTGAAGTGGCAGTTGAAGTGGCCTCCGAAACTACGGGCTCTACTTGAGGCCTGTGATAAAAGCAAGTACCGTGACTTTCATAGAGATCATGGACACACGACCGAAGGTTGCTTCGCTTTGAAGTGTGAAATCGAGGCTCTCATCAAGAGTGATTTCCTGGGCATATAAGTCAATCAAGGCAAGCATCAGCGGAACAACCAGAATAGGGGTGAGGCTCCTGAAGATGGGGGAGATAGGCAACCAACCGCAGGGACTATCAATGTCATTGCTGGAGAAACGGCCTCGGGGGAGGACTCCAACAGTGGGCGTAAGCAGTACGCCAGGCAATACTACCCGATCTCAAGCTTGGATCTCAGTGATGTGGGAGACATCACCTTCGGGTCAAAGGACTTAGAGAGAGTGTCTTTCCCTCATGATAATGCCTTGGTCATATCGGTGATCATTGTTAATTTTGAGGTAAGGAGAATTCTGGTGGATAATGGAAGCGCAGCTAACATACTGTCACATGAGGCTTTCGTTCATATGGGTATATCAGTTGAGCAGCTCAAGCCGGTAAAGACCCCCTTTAGGGTTTCAGAGGTGGTGTCGTCATTCCGGAGGGCATTGTTGGGTTACCTCTCACCTTGGGATCAGAAGGGAATCAGGTCACGCATATCACAACATTTCAAGTAGTTCTTGCTCCTATGGCCTACAATGCCATACTTGGAAGGTCTCTACTGAACAAAATCAAGGCGATTGTCTCAACTTTTCATCGGCAGTGAAGTTTCCTACTAGTAGTGGGGTCGGGGTAGTTTGTGGAAGTCAACAGTCGCTAGACATTGCTATGTTACCAGCGTTTGTGAGATCAAGGTTGACGTCATGCAACTCTCTGAGGTCGAGCCTGGCCTCGAGCATCGTGGGAGGCTTGCCCCGGTGGAAGAGATGGACGAGGTTGAGCTCGAGCCTGGAAGAAAATTCACCGTTGGTCGAGATCTTGATGCTACAACCACGACCCCAACTTGTTAGCTGCCTAACCCGTAACATGGATGTATTTGCTTGGAACGTCGAAGATATGCCTGGAATAGACCCCGAGGTTGCAGTGCATAGACTTAACATAACACCAAGTGCAAAACTAGTAAAGCAGAGAAGGAGACAGTTTGCGCTGGAACGGCGGGAAGTCATACGAGAAGAAATTTCCAAACTCATCAATGCGAAGTTCATTCGAGAAGTCTAGTATCCCGATTGACTTGCCAATGTTGTTTTTGTAAAGAAAGTCAATGGGAAATGGAGAGTCTGCATTGACTTTACGGATCTAAACAAAGCATGCCTTAAGGATAGCTATTCCCTACCTCAAATTGATAGTCTTGTGGACAGCACTTTAGGCCATAAATTATACAGTTTTCTGGACACATTGTCGGAGTACCATCAAATTCTTATGTCAGAAGAAGATAAGGAGAAAACCTCATTTATGGCAAATTCAACCATTTACTGCTACAAGATTATGTCATTCGGGCTGAAGAACGTAAGAGCTACATATCAAAGACTTATCAACAAGGTCTTTGCTCACTTGATAGGTAAGAACATCGAGGCATATGTGGACGACATGACCGTCAAGAGTAGGCAGGTGGATGGTCATATCTCGGACCTTGAAGAGGTCTTCGCTACGCTACGGAAGTATAAGATAAAACTGAACCCTACAAAGTATGCATTTGGAGTGGCCTCCAGCAAGTTTTTGGGGTTCATGATCACACATAGAGGAATAGAGGCCAACCCAAACAAAATCCAAGCCATAATATCTATGGAAGCACCGACATGCAAGAAGGACATTCAGAAATTGGCAGGTCAAATTGTAGCCTTGAATAGATTTGTATCCCAAGTAGCAGAATGGTGCCTCCCATTTTTCAAAATCCTAAGGGATAACCGAAACTTTGATTGGAATGAGGAATATAATGTTGCTTTTCAAGAGCTAAAGCATACACTATCAACGCCACCAGTCATCAACAAGCCAGAACCGGGTGATATGTTGTTATTATACCTGGTCGTTTCGGAGAACGCGGTAAGTGGAGTGTTGGTGAAGAAAGTGAGAAAGATCCAACGACCAATTTACTA